AATCTGTCAACTATGAAAACTCTTTCGTCAAATCAGTCTCACAGTTGCCAAAATCTTAAACACTATTCATCTGGTGAGGACACCATTTGCAAATCTGAATCTCCCGTTTACCAAAACTCTAAACACATTCTCAAACACATTCAGCAGTGTGGTGCACTTGTACCCAGAATGGTGCACACAGGCTACAGAAGTTAAACACAACTAACACTGTTTTCATCATTAACACACTACCACTCAAAATTGAAAACACATGTTGCAACCTCTTCTGCTTTTTGCTCGATTGAATACAGCTTCATCCACGGAGATGTATTCATGAGGCCTAACCATTGAGTCAAGCTCAAAGATTCTCTGTACACAACAAACTAACTTTAGTTCTGTAAATGAATAGTATGATGTATACATGTGCTATGCATACAAGTATACTTGTAACTAAATAGTATTTTGTTTAGAACTGAAAGACGGCCACATGAGGGTGGAAGAACACGCACGCGCTCACAACACCAGGAGACACTTATTGTGGATATGGTCCGTCTGAATAATGCAGTTCGACTGCATGAAATACAGCAGTGGATTACAGAAGACAACATACATGTTGAATCTAGCAAAAAGGAGAAGAAAAGGTTGCAATGTCATAGGTCAGCGTGCCATTATTGAACTGCCTGGTCAGCGTGGTGGAAACGTACCTATGTGCTGCCATCAGCAGCTATGGGGTTCTCCACAGTCTGTTACTGTTGGGCCGTACAACACCGAACTTCTAGCAGCATCCCTGGAGGGTCTACGGGATGCTTTGCTCGAGTAGAGAGATCGCGAGCAGGCAGAGCTTCCCTTATCATTTGGGACAACGTGAGCTTTCACCGAGGTCCAAGAATATGCAACTGGTTGCACAATGAGCATTTTATCAATCTGTTTCTTCCACCATACTCTCCCTTTTGAACCCTATCAAGGAGTTTTTCTCAGCATGGAGATGGAAAGTATACGACGAAACCCTCACACAAAGGAAAATCTACTTCAAGCAATGAATGGGGCATGGTGAGATGGGAATCTTGCCAGGGCTGGATTGGGCATGCTAAAGGATGCTTTCCTTGTTGCATCGCAAGGCAGAATATAACATATGATGTGGATGAAGTCGTGTGGCCTGACCCAGCACAGAGATGCTGAGGCAGATTAAATTATCTGAATATGCTGTAAAAATATATAATTATTTTATGTATATGCAACTTTTTTATTGCAGTTTTTTTTGTTAAAATGTGAGTGCAAGAATAAATGAATGAATATGATATATTATTTTCCAGCTATCCCACAGTGTTTTGTATTTATTTCTGTTTGCACACTGGCTGGTTTTGTGTGGCTTTTGACAGTAGTGGTTGATTTTGAGAAAAGTTAAAGTAGTTTTGGGTCAAATGTTTGGTTTTGCAAGACAAGTTGAAGGTTTTGTGTGTGTAGCTTGAATTTTACAGTTTGTGTTTAGTGTTTTGGGACAAAGAGATGAGGTTTTAGAAAATGTGTTTTAGCAATTCAGAAAAACTGTAATGAAACATGCAACATTTCCTGGAATTAGTGATACCATCACTCACAATGCTAGAGGCTGTTTACACAAACAATTATTAATGATTTCAGTTTCTGTCGTTTAGACTACAAACCTGCTTTTGAAGCCAGGAATCAGACTGCCACGGTGTGTTGTCAAATGGTGTTTGTGTGGAATGCAGGATGTGGACTAATGTTGAACTCACTTGATAAAACAAAAAACAAACAAACAAATGAAAATTAAAAATCTAAATCAAACAGGGCAGGACAATAAATGCAAGTTCAAGGACCCTCCTGGGAAATAAGAGATACAAAGCACAAGGGGACACTCAGCTAATATATAGAGAAGGGTGATTGGAGCAGAAAGGAGACACCTCGGGGACAGAACTGAACTAAATCAGAATAACAAGCAACAGAAGAAAAGTAAAACATGAAAGCAAAGACAGATGACTATCAAAATAAAGCAGGAAGTGAGTAAACTGATATGACAGACTAACATACAGATTTAACACAATGTGACACAAGGAGAAGACTCAGATGGTAAACAGATTAAGCCTTAAACAGGATACTAACAGCAGAAACATAACTAAGTTTCAACAATAACAAAACTAAGAACCAGAAGAAGACCGGGATGTTAAACAAGCATAAAATGAAACATCTGGATCCAAAACCAGAACCCCTGCGGTTCCCCCTGCAGGTAGCTTGCTCTCAGGACTTGAGTCCACCTCAAATCAAAGATAAAGACAAAGTGTTGTCTAATTGAATTCTTAGCTGCAAGTTAACTAGTCTGGTTTTCAGAAAATGGATGTTATCTTTCAAATGAACTCCCTCATATTTATTTAGAGTTGTAGTGAAATGTTTTATGTATCTAAATACTTAAAGTAAGGCGTGGGTGCAAGCCAAACCCTAACTTTAAATGAGTCTCTGGTGACTTGATGTTAAAATGTAAAGGTGATAAATGTCAGAGCTCAGTATTCATAAAGAGACGTTCCTGGTGAGTGTTTGGGAGAAGCGGAGGAAGGTAAGGAGGTTAAAGCCATGGTTCCTTCACCTTTCCCATGGTATTACCAGCACCCGTCTCCATCAGGGTCATCATTACAACAGAATTAGTTAAAATCACCTGAGACTTAATCAAAACTTCACCTTTGCAGTCATACATTGTGGACTCAGACAACAAAAAGATGTGAATGTTTGTGTAGAAGTCCAAACTCTTACTCACACATTTGACCCTCCTCTTCCTCTTTGTTTGAACATGTCAGCTAATCGGCTAATATGCTGCAGATATTTACAACACAACAACATCAGCGTCAGCAGTGTGGGGATTTGCCACGGTGTATTTATCTTCACTGATTTTTCTGACTTTATAGTCTGAGAACATCAAGTCTGTTTGTCTGATGGGCACTGCACACAAATCTGTCGATAACAGTCTGAAAGGAGACGGCCACTCGAGAGCGAATCGTCTACCGAGGCCATTGCTCGTTGCTTTTTAAAATAAAGAAAGACATTTAATGGATTCTTCTTTTGCAGATGCTCCATTCCTGCAGCAAATTTCATTAAAATTTTCCTGGTAATTTTTGTGTAGTCTTACAAACTGATAATTAGAGAAGTGCCATTGAAAACGTACAAACAGGCACAGATGGAAACAGCTCATTATCAGTTTTCTGCTGGTCTGATGTCATAACATGAACACATTATAAACACATTTTAATACTACGATGAGTATGCTCACAGGTCCAATGTATTTGTACCAAATTTAACTATGTTACTTTCTACTTTGGATGCAAATATTAATATCAACATTATATAGTAAGTAATTAAAATAACCAGCTGGTGTGATGATAAAGAGATTTATACAACAATACCTAAAAAATAACCGTCCAACAGCACATCTGCTTAACTGCATGACTTATGACTAGCTTGCAAAACAAGTATCCCAGATAAAAATACATATGACCTTAATAATAAATAAATGTAACAAATAAATAATAATACAGCAGTAAGAGGAAACCCACAAACAAACATCAGTGTCAAAAATAATAACCACATTACTCCAAGAAACAAGTAAACAAACCAAAACACAACAAGGAAAAGAGTCCCTCCATCTAACGTTAGCCAATCAGACCATTTCTCACTCTGTCACAGTCTGGCAGAGGCAGACTGCATGTATTGTGAAGAGTGGACCCAAAGTGCAGACATGAAGGAACTTGGACCAAAGCTTGAGTATTAACAATAAGCAAGCCGTTTAATACGGCTGATAAAGTACAAAAACAAAAGGCAGATGCACACAAGAAAGAACTTAACTAGAACTAAACTGGGAAAACAAAATGATAAACACAAAAGGCAAAGAACAAAACTTTGAACGGTGCAAAAAACCTAAACATGGAAAATCCTGAAGACATGGAACAACAGACAACCTGACAAAGAATGAACAGAAACACACAGA